TGGTTTACCGGCCTCGATAAGCAGGGAGACGTGCCGGATTTGGGCTTTAATCTTTCCTGAGTTGGATTAATTGTCGTCTCGTAAGCTAGGCTGGTAATTTTCATCCCTTTACAAATAATCCCTCATTGAACGTGACAGAAAGGATGTATCATCTTTCTACAGTTATCGATTTGGAGTAAATCGATAAAAATCATACCTATCCATCTGTCAAGGTAATATTGCAGTGACGACACTGATAATGAAATATCTGGGGCAGTCAGCAAAGTTTATTCCGTTGTTAAACCTACAAGAAGAGTAGTCAGGCATTCTTTTTATTAGCTGAGTACTTTGACTAGTATACATTTATCCTCCTTGAAAGCAGATGTATTCTTATCAGTGTTTAGTGTTTCTGAACATGATCTTCAAAGGTGATTCATTCATCAAAGTGTGTCTCATGTTTCTTCCTTAATGCGTCCAAGATTTCTGCCGGCTCTTCTATTTGCATGCACTTTTCTAGTTTACGAGTTCGGGCTGTTTCAAATTTCCTTAGTGGTTCTTGGCCCTTTTTTTAAAAAACTAAAAACAAAATGAAAAAAGATACAGAAATAATTCTACTGGTTTATAACTGCCAAAAATATTTTTCCATTTTCAAGCAGGTCATCAAAGTTATCTGTATCATCATAATCATCAAGTGTCAGAAATAAGGCCACACCAATTTAATTTCTTGGTTAACGGATTTTTCTAGAAAAATAATGCAGCGGGTGGGAAAAAAAGATAAATAAATAAAAACAGGCCTAGGCATCCCATTATGGCCCAAAATGGTACAATAGGAGCCATGAAGTCAACACACCAGGCTGGTTCAAAATTTAAAAAATGAATTTTGAACTTTTAATAATACCATTGCATTGAAAGATAGAATAACTGTAACAACTAGGATGAAAAGGACTGTTTTCAACTGTTCAGGGCAAAATATGAGCATTTTGCAGTTGATTCTGAATTTTTATCTTTATTTGCAAATCAGAAAAAAATGAAGTGGGCAAATCCGTTAACCAAGAAATTGAATTGGTGTGGCGTAAGGACCAAATTTTATATGCTGTACAAAACATGTATCTCCATGGTTTTAGCATGCAAGGCATCATCTAGACTTGCCCTTGAAAATGAAACCAGTTCAGAGAAGCATAAAAGGACAGACTGCAGTTTTATGAGCAACTTGGCGCAGCATGCTTCTCCTTGGTAGTCCTTTTAACACCTTTCAACTGTCAATCTCATACATTTCAACGAACTGAAAGCGGTTATGTACTTACAGGATCTTTGACATGAGACTGAATGTAAAATGTCACGGCTTTTTTCCAGAAGGTATTGGAATATTTTTTACCAGGTGTAGCCCTTAAGCCCGTAACCTTCTCAGTTCTGAAGTAGCCTTTTGGGAGTAGCTATGAATTGAATACAGGCCAATGGCACTGCAGCAGGGAGAAGGGTATTATTCCAGTAATTTTATTACATTAAAATACAGCTGCTTGTAGCTGTCAGATCATTTGGTAGAATTTTACACTGTGCAACAGAGTTATCATAAAATTCTGATCCGCAATAATTAGATAATATTAGTAGTAAACAGTGCTAATTATTTGATAAACTGCAGGGATTATTATCATGATATTTCTCCAGAGATATTGAAGTCAATACAGGTAGAATTTTCATTTTTTTTTATATATGTGCAAACCTAGGGAACACCAGCTATAATATTAGATACAAGCAGGGATTCTTTGCACGTGCATATCAGCGGTATCACTGTTTATTGATTTACAGGACGTTTTGACATTCTACATACACCCAATGTGAGAATCAGCCCATGTAAAAGCGTCAGCTGTATTGTGCCTCTGAATTCAACAGACAATTTCCCTATTTTACTGCATGACAGCTGAATAGCATTGTGTAGTGGCGGCTGTGTGGTGATGTGAGTAATATGTGTCATCTTCACCACCATTGTTGTTGGGACCGGAGAAATCCCCCTATAGGGCCTCTGCTATAGATCAATAGAGAAAGGCCCAATGGAGAGTAATTCAGTGGGGGTGAAGTTAAGTGTGAAATCTGTAATGGGCGCGCTTCATATCAATTTGCATATAGCTACATCAACAAAACTGCCGGTGATTTTGCCAAATATTGGAAGTAATGATTGAAAATTGTCGAACATTAGAACTTCAACCTCAATAATGATCAAATGTGTATTTTGCATTTGGAAAGAGTCTTATAGGGCACAATCTGCAAACAGGGAATAAAAAAATTCCATTTATCAAAAATGTCGACTAGGTCCTGATTGAGCAGATTTATGAAGTATTCATGGGTGTCTTATCAAATTATCCATATTTACCATATCCATGAACTATTTACGATCCAGTTTATTGCATTATCTCTGTCAGACAGATGCAAGATCGCAGTTGTCTCAGTGGGGTAAGGGGGATGCTAGTTAGTATTCTATCACCTTAGCCATGCATTGCATAATTGTCTGACATCTTTTGTGTGTTTTGAACATATTTATTCAGCATTTTAGAAACTGGCTGGCAAATATTTGCTCAAAATTGCTAATTAATGAATATTTTGATATTCATGAAATGATTTTTATCAAGTTTAGTACATTAATGTAATCCTTGAATTGCTTTTCTTTATTATCTAAAATTAAAATTATGGCAAGAAGGAGTGGTCATAATTGACCCACAGTTCTAGATGCGAGTGTGAAATTTTTAGGTCCTGAATGTTAGCTCTAAATTCATGTCACTAAGATATTTGGGTTATATTTGATAGATTGTGTCAAATTTATAGTTAACGCAGTCCTAGATTTTCTTTCTTTTTCTTATAGTTGACATGGAAAGTCTACGGCACAAAGAATTGATGATAATTGACCCACTGAGTTCTGGATGTTTTGATTCATCTTGGTGCCATGCAGTGGGAAGGTTTCAGTGATAACTCTTTGCACTACACGAAGCAGAATAAGTGCCCTGTTGTTGGTTTTCCCAGCTCGCATTGATTATCATGCACCGGCACAAAGGGCCCGCTATCGACAGCCGCAATATCTGCACACCGCGCCAGAATCTGCCGCCATAAATTGATTTGCACAACAAAAGGTGGAGTGTGGGTATCGGAGAATCAATACCATAGATTTTGGGACAGATGTGGGGCTTTGAAAGAACCAATACTTGACATAGATTATGATTGGTAGGAGAAATTCAATGTGTAGACTGGATTCTATTCAAACACATGGCATTTAACTTCAGTAAAATACATGCATTTTAAGGCAAAGGAAGGTTTTTGTGAGACGACTTTTGCAGCTATACTGGGCAATAGTAATTGGGAAAGAAAAGGACGAATAGCCTAACTGTTCTCATAACGCCCCCTACACCAATATAGAATAGTATTGTGCCAAAAAATGTAGATGAACTGAAAAATGAAAGAAATATATATGTTTAACCATTTATTCTTCAGGTTTAACCACAAAGAATTATTACTATGTAGGATAAGAGAATGTAAAATAATGGAAACGGTCATCAAAAACTCAAAACCTTAAATTTGATTTTATTGAGTTATATTGAACTAGAGACACTGGGAGTGAAATCAGCAGGCGCCTGTATTGGGTAATCAATCAAATTGATCTGTGTGACGAATGGGCCGCCAGAACAAGACAAAGTTTTATCCACCTGGGATGGGCTGAATTAGACCACCACCTGCACCAATATGGATTTATTCAAGACAAGATTTTTTTTGTTGAAACCAGGCTTGCAGTCCAACTTGTGTTTCCACTCAGGGGACTGGGACAAAAGACTGACAAATGTACATATTCTGGTCCATTTCTAGCTGGATAATGATATGCAACTTTATTCCCTTGCGTGCGCTATATTATTGTTAACTTGCCCAAACTATACTGCGCAGAGGATTTACACACTTATTGCATAACTGGAAATGAGAAAATTGAGTGATTTACATACATTGGGTAACCATTATAGATGGGTGCCTGTGAAAAATTCTAAGCAGTTAAATGTTGTTGTTATTGTTTTTTTATAGCAGGCAGCTTTGAATTCTCTTAAATAAAATGGGGCTTGTTTTATATGTCAAAAACAGTTCAGTAGACTACATTTTTTATCGTTATTGGGTCTTTTTTGCTTTCAGTACCTTTGAAATATATCAAGTCTTCACATAGCTCATTACAATGTGAATGATTGTTTTATGATCATCAAGTTTCTTACAAGTGTATTATAGGAATGGCTTGTCATCTGGTTTGAATAAGGATAGTAGCCTCTTCCTTTACGACATGCAAATCTATACTGACCTACATGTACAACAGAACATGACTCTGTGTCAGCAAAATTTGACACACTGCCCTACAACTCAACTGGCCACTAGAGGATTGGTGTGGTTGATTGGTAGGAGGCTGCTGAGGTTGTTCGGCCTGATTATCTCCTCCAGTTTGTCAAGTTGCCCATGTTACAGGATTAAGGACTAATAAGATGCTTTTGTTTGAGATCAATCCCTTTGAGTAAATAATTCTTAAAGCTGGAAATTGAAATGTGGAAGGAAAATACAAACAAAAAGTTTTCTAGGGGATGGGGGTATTGTATCAAGTATTCGTAATAATTCAGAACAGTGGACTATAAAAAAATTAATTTTGGGGAATAGGTGCACTGGTATGCCTAACCTTAAGATTTAATTGCACAGAAATGAATTCAAGTGCATGACATATAGTCTAATAATTCAAAGTACTGTGATGAACTCAAATTCTATATAGAGCTGACTTCAAATTTTTAAATTAGTTAAATACAGTAAAGGTTTTATTTTTTCCCATATACAGTATGCTATAGATTATATAATAGTTTGCATACGTAACTCTACACAAACAACTAGGTGCACCCACATTTAAAAATAAGAATTTTGAGCCCTGCTTTTTGATCATTCTATAGGAAAATGATGACCTGAACTGGAAGTTGCGGTGTCGGGAAAATACTAACGCTGTTATTTTGCGTAATTTTGCGTAGGTGGTTCGGCATCAGGGTCCTTGTGGCCCCGTTGCGCCTCACCCAGCGATGCCTAATGGAGCGTACTTCTTCCGCCCGTCATACGCGCAGGCGACCGGAAATGGGCCGGCATTGTGGATGAATGGGCAAAATGGCAGGGTAGGAACCGTTTTCAATCAGCATCAAGCACGAAAAGTCGCTCTCGCACAGTAGTTAGGAGTAAGGCACAGAGCACCTGGGGTTGGCCGTTAGAACTACCCGATAACCTTAGACCGACTTTTGATCAGCACAGACACAAAAAGTGGCTCCTGTACCTTTTCACTGTACCAGGAACAAAGCACCTGGGGTAGACTCAATAAACATCTAATAACACATCAAAAAGGGCGGTAAGAACCACTTTAAATCTGCATAGAGCACAAAGAGTTCCTCTTCCACTGAAGTCAGGAAGAAAGCACACAGCACTGTAGTCATTCAGTCTCGCACTTCAATTGGAAACCTTGAACATAGAATGGGTATAGATCTCATAGGAGCAGCTAAATTCCTTACAAAAGAGAATTTTCAGTGTACACAGTGTCAAAGTTTAGGCACTTTATAGCATGACCTTGATGGTGAATTCCCCAAATGATACAGAATTTAGCGGTGGATGCATGCAGACTACAAAATGGCAGTGATGTGCAACAGTTTTTCTGCTGAGTGCAGAGTTTACATGTAGATGTGTCTCTTACCATTAATATAGCTGAAATAGAGGCATTGCATGATAAGATAATACTCTAAGTGGCCATTGGTAAGATTATGCCTGCCATTATCTAGTTAAGACCTGCTATTTGCGGAACTCACGAAGATGATAAAAGATATGATCTTTTTTGAGCTGCTTAGGGAATAGCAGGTATTTTTAAAACTAATCCATCCCGTCCATTATTTTTGTGCATTATCGCAAAGCATGTGTTTTAAGTGACATATCACTTGGGATTCTCCTTGCTATATTATTCAAACAAGTTAGTAAATGATCTGCCTTCTGGTAGGGTCTGATCTAAAACAAGTCTTTTCACATTAGGCAAATTTGTTTGTCAAAATGATGAAATGACTATGTACTTTTTGTCAGTGTTAGCAACAAATTTTGTTAGATGTAAGATGCTGACAAGAACCTTGCACAAATATTAGCTACATGTATTGCATACAAGTGCAATCTTCTTCTATAAAATGGCAGAAGAATCTAAGGAACCAGGTTGTTACTCCATTGATTCAGCACAAGATTTATGGCATTTACTGTCAGCCCCATGTGCAGCTAGAAGAAATCTTTACATTGATTGGAAAATCCACAAAGCCGTCAAATGAAGCAGAAAGTTATGATAATGAGTCGAATCAATTCCTTCTTATAGTGCCAGGGGCTTAACAGTCATTTCATGCTTCTTGCACAGCTGCAGATTTCAGATACAAGTACAGACACAACACAATCATATTAGATAAAAAAAGTTTTTTAGCAAGAAAATTGCTATACTTTCTTGGTATACAACATAATGATTTGTAGAAAAAAATCAAACTGATTTTCAACAATTGGGTTGATTGAATCTGCAAACAGCATTCCTTTTTTCTAGTTTTTCATAATTTAAAAGAAGACTGTTTTCCCTAAATTGCATGTCAGGCTATTCATACTTATATGGTATGGTGTTTGGTACAATTTAGTATTGAAGCTAGCACATTTACCATGCTTACCATGAATATATCAGTACCCATTGCTGTAGCTTAGAGCAACTATCACATTTTCAGACTCCTGGGTAATTCCACATTTTCCTGGCTGTAAGCCTAATGCCTCTGCCTCAAAATAGAAGGGCTCACGGGTTCAGACCTTTCACCTAGTTGTGCACCATTAGTTCGCGTTGACAGGTGATTTTCAGACGTTACCCCTCACCAATGACGGATGTTCTTTTTCAATGGTTTCTTTAATGACGGGTGACGAATAGATAACGAGCACATTTTAGAAGAACTCAATGTCCATAACAAGAAGCCATGGTTTGAATTCCTATCCCTCTCTGAATAGATGTCCTATATGTACAGCTGTAGCACACAAAACAAAAATTATGTCTTATGCCCTGCAAGGTCATATGCTGCCATGTGCGAATGTTATAAAATTTTCATATTTGTGATTAGAAATCAATACATTCCTGGCAGGTGGCAGTTTGGAAGAATCACCCTTCATGCTTCCAGTCAGTCTGAATTACTCTTATGGCTTGATTTACATCTTAGAGGTCAAAGGTTAGCATAATGGAATTGGTTTCGGGTCAGAGTTCACTGCACCATCTGGGTCATGTGCATTCTGTTGGTGGTTTTATGAGTGCATCGAGAATGAAAACAATTAAACAGAGTAATGGTAGAGCTGTAAGTATTACAGATGAGACAGAACAGGGCTTGAAATACTTTTGTATTGCTAGGCCACACCAATTAATTGTCTTGGTTCTCTGTATTTTTAAATTTAAGCTAAGTTTCAGCCAATATTTGCCAATAAGTACCTCAGTTATATCTTATATGAAAGAAATCAGCAAGTTTCATTTGAAATTACTTTCAAACTACTGTACATTAAAATCATTTTCCTCTCATAACCCTCAAATACAAGATCATTCTTTTGAAATGGGTGAACAATAAAAGACAATATGGTCATGGACAGCAAGCAATTTCAAGCTTGAACATAATAGCTCCCATGTGGTATCCATGTTTGAAGTGACACCGCTGATATAACACAATGCAGTGTCAGCAGAGATGGGATATACAGTATCAGGGTGGGGGGGCCACATTCAGTCGACTCAGCCCACAACCAAATTGCTTCCCCCCCAATAAATGCTGATGCCTCCCACAGGAGCTCCTATCCCTTTATAACCTTTGTTATAGCTGTCCTGTTGCCATGACAACAAGGTGTAACTAATACTGTGTGCGCAGTCGTGTAATTGGGTGATACGGTGTGTGTCAAGAGCGACAATTATTCCTGGATTTATAATCCCGCAGGGCGCATTAGCCTTTGAATTTCAAACAGTCTTGTCGGCTGGAATCATTCTCCAAAAAAAAGTTTCGCCAAGTTCAAGGAGAAAATTCCTTCTCTGTTGTCCTTGTAGGCAAGCTGAAATGTCACAGAGATTTGTTATGTAATACAAATGATCTTCATATGCCTCATAGCAATATGTAATTAGTATAGCCATTATAGCTACATAGTGCAGTGTTCATTGCTGTGTCAAGTTTTCTGTAAGTTTTCATCCATCAACAGTTTTCATGTACTGTTTCCTGATTGAGTCTGGTGTTTTGTAATTGCATTTTCCCGGCGTAATCGAACTTCACTTTTCTAAGACATACACTGAAGAGCTAAGATGTCTTATTTACACACACATTTACTCGATGGTGTCTCTTTTAATCATGAGTGCTGGTATCTGATCAACTCAAAGTTTCTCACAAGCGTGCCTGTATTTAGAACCCTGTTACCTTAATGAGAATCTGGTTGTCCAAAGACACTGGCCAACCCTGATTGTAAGTACTGGCGTCGCTGACCCTGGTGCTGAAACATTAGTGGTTATGGCCGCCTCCTGAATGGTCCGCTTTCTGCAGAATTGCCCATAATCTATCGAGAAAACCATCTACTGCAACTGACAAATTGGTTCATTTACCAAGAGCTGCCTTTCGCATGGAGCATCTGGCCACTTCCCAACATCTTGGTTTAAAATTGAAGCTAATGCATGGACCTCATGATGTTATTCATGCAAGTCGAAACCCTATTTCATAGTTCAAGTTATTACATTATGTATAGATTTACCATCTATATTACTGGCCAAAAGTATCAAAAGATGTTAGTAATTTATCAGATGGAAGCTGATATAATGATGTAGAGATAATTGGATAATACAAAGCATGACTTATTGTCATTCCCTTTTGGCTCTCTGCCCCAAACCTTGTCTCTTTATCAAAGTACAGTTCCAGACAATTTTCCAGTTAAGCTGACTGCTATAACATTAGTGATGATTCTGCCATATGGCCCTTCCTTTTTCTTATAAGTGGCAAACATGGGGAATCAATAATGTATAGACTTTACAGCGTCTTTTGTCTTTCTTACTGGACATGTGTGGCTTACTAGAAGGTGACATGTAGTGACCTTGGTAGATTGAGTTCTAAATTGGTCAGTCTAAGAATTTTGGGTAGCATCTGTTTCCTCTTTCCTCTCTGGTGCCTTACTTGACTCATTCCAATCTTCAAAGATCTTTTGAAATATCTGCTTGAAGCTCAGAATTCTCCAGACATGTGGAGTATGATGGTGTCAGGGATAAACCCTCTCAAGCCAGTCAATGTGGTGTGCGAAATGGTCCAGGAGGATGGAAGGTCTCAGTAGCAATTTGCCTCATTCAAGTACAAATGGATGCCTTGGAGATAAAGCTTTTACATCTTACCTAAAATTGCATTCTAAATAGACAAGGAAATATATTCTGTCTTTGAAAACCTCTACTATGGCACTGGGATTACAGAGTGATTGCAGGCACCATTGCACAGAGAGTATTCTTGGCTTTCGTAATATTGTTTTCTGGATAGTTGACCACTAAGATGTACCCTTTGTCAATTCCACATTGACTATTACCTTGCAATCCTTACTGGACATGCGCTCTAGATATGACACCCCTCTGCATGTACAAGGTCAAAACCTATGTGCTCTAGGTTTGACACCCTCTCCATATATGGACAACTGATGAAAACTCATCACCTTTGCAAACTTTGTCGCCACAATTGCACGAGCAGTTGGTTTTAAAGACTACAATTTTCATAATTCCATTTACTGGCGGATCCAATATTGTATAATTCAGCATTCAGACCCAGTTTGCTCCAGGAGACAGAAGCAATATTTATGGATTTTGCAGTTTCCCTGTAAAATAGCAAAGGTGACTTCATACTTATTGACTTACAGTCTGCCAAGCATGCACATTGACGACTAATAATGTCATATATCTGCAGGCTTTCATATAAAAATCTATAATGCAATAGTTGTCCCCTGAGATGGCATCTTGCCAAACCTTTGTCTGTCTTTAGGCAAGTGATGGAATTTAACAAGGGACCACAGAGAGACCTTGTCTTTTCTTGTTTGATTTTTCCATCTATTATGTAATCATTCATTCTGTCCTTATTTCTTTGTACATATTCATGTATCTTTCTTTCCTTAATCTCTCGTTCCCTTCCTTCCTCCTTCTTTCTTTATGGATGAATAAAATAACTCAATCCGTACAAAGTTTTTGAATGAGTTGATATTGATCTCCTAAATTACATTTTGTATTATTTGTACGTACTTTGTTCTTTCTTGTATCATGTTGTATTTTCCCATGATCAGAAGTATTATTTATGTATTTGTTTGTTGTATGTTTTATTGTTTGTTTATTGTGTATGTTTTTGTTGTGTTTTTGTTTTCCTAAGGAGCGTTTCATTTATTTCAGGACGAGCCAATGGAATTCGAAGAAGACGAAAATGTTTCTTCGTCTGACAGCTTAGACGAGGAGGTAGTGTTCTGTTTTGTTGTTTTTGTTTACATTATTGGTTTTGCTTCAGCCTAATATACAGCCTATAATAAAGCAACAGCCACTTAACTATACTCAAAGTTGGCAGTAGAAATGAGGACAGAACTATAATTTCTATCCTTACACAGGATAGAACACTGGCTTATAGACTGTCTAATAGCTCTTTTTCTATCATTTTTCATTTGTTTAATGGGGTTTGAAGTTCTTAGCACTATGAATATAATTCAGTCAGTCTCAACCTTTCACAGATCCAGTTGCCTGCTGGGAAATGTGGGCACTATGGGTAAAACATGGGGCAAACAGTAACATAATTACAATCAATGAAAATGTCTATGTTACTTATTATATAGAATTACATTTAACTTGCATCCATCATAGTGTGTGATAAAGGCAAATAGAATCCACATTTTGTATTCCGGACATGTTGGCTGGTCCCACCGAGTTGTGTGCACTAACCTAACCTTTGAACTTGGAAGAGCTTTAGTCATCGATCACCTGAAGTGATGGGAACAAGCGGAAACAACCTTCTCTCTGCTGTCCAATCGTATAACCTAATGCAAATTTGGTTACTAGAGGCTGCCCTGGTGGGTAGAAGGTTAAGAAAACTGTCAAATTTTCTGTCTCTTTGCATCAATATTTTAATCCCTCTTTGGTCATATATTTTGTTAAGTAACAGTTTTGGGAGGGGGAAGAGTTGTGTGGAAATGTGGAAAGAGATGCATTCAGTTAAAGGATGTCTGAAAAATGAATCAGGTCCCAAACAATTATCTTGAGTAGGCATCAGGCAAAGAGCAAAAGTCACATTATTTCTGGATAAATCAGCCTAATAATCGACAAGAAGGCTATGAAATGCCTATTAAGAGGATATGGAATGGTTCTAAGGACATTTTGTTGCTGTATTTATGTTGTTGGGTCAAATTTTATAGATTGAATGAAAACATTAAGAGACTTGGGGATTGCCAGAGGCAAGGCAGTTATGCTTACTCATGTCAGTCTTCGTGCAAGATGAGCATCAAAGTGATGTTGTTGTTCTAAATGACAGAGCCTGAGTAGTGCTGCATACCTAAACCCAATTTTAGGTTCAGGTCCGGATTCAAGTCCAGAGGTTTAGGTTCAGTTCCAGACTTGTAAGTCCAGACCTAAACCCATGGCATATACAACATTGCATGTTGGCAACCTTGCAATGTTGACTGGGTGAAACTTTGGCCGCATAACATGGAGGCCGGTACTTGACGATGCCCGATGGCAATGTTTTCTTCATTTTGCAGCAAAGATTTTGAAATGTACGGAAGGTTTTAGGTGGTTTGGAAAGAAAAGGGGTATGTGAAATTGTCTTTTATGGTAATAAGTCCGGACTCGGTTCTTGATTTTTAGGTTTTTTTGGACTTGAACCTAACCATTCTTACAAGTCCGGATCCAAGTCCAGTGAACCGGTATGCAGCACTAAGCCTGAGAAATATACAATGTGATATTATCAACTTGTGCAAAGTGAATAATTGAAAAAGGCCATGAAATGCCACAGTGTTGGTTTGACTGATGATTCAAGGAAGAAACTAGCCGTTACTGGCTGTAAACGGGTGGAGAATGATGGTGCATCAAAAATTGGATTCTACACAGAAAAGCGATTGACATGCCTGGATGATGTCAGTTTTTTGTTCCAATACACCAAACATTCATGTTCCGGCCATGTTTCCCTCAGTTTTTCTTAGCATATATCTTCTTAATCCATCTGTTTTAAAACTGTCAATGCCAAAGTTAGGTAGAATTTGCATGATAACTGACCACTGAGTGGCATATGACAAACCTAATAATCCAAACTAATCTGCATCTTTCCTTTGGCAGATTTGTAACTTTCCAGGGGAGACCCATCTTCATTTACATGGTTATGTATAATTGATGAAAACTGGAAAAAGGTTGGCATAGCCGACTGACCCGTCGGTATCCCCAGAGACTGTAGGAAATTAGCTAATGACATCAAACCCTCCAACAGCTGTTGCATAACCGTAAAATTGGATGGACGCCCAGAATATTTGGCCCCCAGTCCATGTATTTATGATACAGATGATTGTAAGTAAAGTAAGTAAGTAAGATCATGGTTTGACAAAAGTCAACGCAAGTTTGATCAATGGAATGCTAATGAGATGTGGTTGGAAATATTCCAGCTGGCTAAGCAACTATATGAAGGATTTACTACTAAAAGTACTAAAAGGGGATGAGTGACTAAATACCAGCCCCTTTAGTTGTGGGAAGACACCAGAAAATTGGAAGCTCTAACAAAAGTTTTATGATTAGATAAAATTCTCAATAAATGTTATGATAAATGTTAACATACCATGTAAAGGAGGGCATGCTCTTGAAATGACATTGTGAGAGTTTATTACATCTAGGGACAAGTTGAGATGTGGAAATTTTAACATTAAGCCATTGACAGTTGAAGAAGGACTGAAATGAAAACTGTAGTGTAGTGTAATTGGTGTAGCTGTTGTCTTCTTGTATGCAAGAATGCCAATGCCAATGTTCATGTTGTATGGGGTAGTACCCTCTTTGTAACAATCAATAGTGTACTACAACATCAATACATTCCAGAACACCTTTTCTTTTTCTAATTTGCATTTAGGCTTAAGTCAAGCTAACGTCTATCGCATTAATTCTGGGTGGTAGCATTGCAAGTTAAAATCAGTTTAGTTCCAAGTGCCAGAAATCGGACACCTAAGTTCAAAGTAATCCGTTCTACGATCTGTCTTGATTAGGAAAGGTGGCTGGACAAGCCGTCTTAAATTAGATTACTTGAGACGTGTGTCTAACACGTGAGGTTGATAAGACAACAAGAGGAAACAGATATCTGCTAACACAATTTGGACATGGCCTGAGGTAAACTTTGGCCTGTAGGGAGTAAAGAAATAGATCATATATAGAAACTTCAGGTAACAGTGAATTTATTTAGTCTTACTAGATAGACATATTATAAGGGTCCCGGACTAGACTGATACCAAGTTCGCCGCACAGCTTGATCAGACTAAGTAAAATTTTCATCATACTATGTAACACAATTAGGGGATTGTTTGGTTTCCATTTTTTATCTGTGATGAATGTTTTTTGCTTGCAATCTTTATTACCTTCGCCAAGAAGGTTATACTTTGTGGCTGTTAACGTTTGTGTGTGTCTATGTGTGTGTGTCAACAATTTACAAATACTCGCATGCACACACACAGACACAGACATACACATGTATATGCGCACACACACACAAACACACACATGCATGCACACACACACACACACACACACACACACATACACACACAAACACACAAACATGCAAATACACATGCACACACACACATTGTATATAAATGTACAATTTGCCCAAGCCTATCCCTAATACCACTGTGCACATGCAAACTCAGCCTGGTGCCTCTGCAGCAGGCTGACCTTCTCAGTGATTGCCAGTAAATTGTTCCTGCCCAGAAATGGAGGAACTGATTGGACATGTATATTTTATGTGCTTTCTTCCTTTCAACTTGGAAAAGGTTTTATTACTAATACTGATTGTGAAAGGAGGGACCAGTTATGTACAGAGTGCCACTGAGTACCTCTGAGTCATTGTAAGGTGGAGGGAAGGAAGAGAGCCTGTAGTGTAGAGTGTACCAATGAGTAGACTGTCATGTTTAGCAAATGAGACTTTAGCAAACTGGGTTTGACTTACTAGAGTCCTACATTCAAAAGAGTCTATGATAGATGCTTTGTTAAACTTTTTGAGCTTTTGTGGCATAATTTACATGTATCTTTAAGGGAATGCTTTGACATAGCCATGGTTTACTTGAAGCGTACAGCATGTTAATGTAAATGGAATACAAAGTTAGCATAGGTCAAATCTAGGGAAAATGGCAGCAAGTCAACAATGAAATCATGTTTTCTGCTGCATGCACTGCAAACAATTTCTGGTCATGGTATGCAAGACCCGGAATTTACGCTTGCGAAAATCCTATATTTAGATTTCTGGTTATTGAAGATTATCAAATTGATACTTTATAATAGGGAGGATAGACTACAACTCAGATTATTAAGGTCTTAACCTAATAAATGATACAGCAGAAGTTGCTAATCACAATTCTTTCTCCTTTGCTGTCCCTCTGCTGTTTCCTGTGCTGATATTGTGGTGTTGCTGTCCTGATGGTGTGCTGTTCCTGATGATGTGCTGTTCCTGTCCTAATGGTGTCCTGTTCTTGTACCATTTGGCTGTACTGTTGATGCAAACAAATATAGGTAAGAGAAATCATATTTTTACATTCACCATAGGTCTGGTAAAGAACTTACTATTTATTGTTTGTGTATCATGCATGAAACACACACTACATATATGTACCTCAGGATTTGAAGAGAATATCTTCCTACAACGATAAATGATTTAGATTTTGACATCGTCCTCATGTATGAATTAATACAAAAAATTATAAGATTGCTAGTTCAACACAGCTTCATATATTTAAGATGACTTATGACCCAATTACATTGGACAACTGATCTCACAGAAAGCGGATTCCAAAAGCGGGTCACAGGTGCCCAGGAGTTTCACCACCCCACCCTGTACAGTACAGTGCAGTAAAGTATAGTGTTGAGAAGAAATATGAACTCAGATACCAATGAGTTTGAAACAATATTACTTCATGATTGTCAATAAATCATAATTTCCACAGTATGATATTAGATTTATCTCCAAGAGTTTACATTATACATTGGATCCAGCTCGTATTTTATGGTATGCTAGCAATTACAGTCTAGCAAGACAGCATTTCATAATTATCTCACATGACAGGCGATATTTCTCTAACCTTTACCAAAATGATTCTCATTATTCTTCAGAAAATATAAAGCATATTCCATTATGCTGTAATTTCAATGCTTAGCAAGAAACGGTATGAGAATAAGTAAAATTCTTTATCCAGTTAGAATTTTTATGAAATTTTATCTATCCCATTTAG